GTAAGGAGTCAAATTGACCAAGAATTTTAAAAGCTTGACAAGACATCGAACTCATAACCGATAACTTCGCTGAACGAAGGACAAATACGGTGACAAAATTTCCGCTTCGTTTGTGATGTTTATAGTGCTGGTTTGCAAGGTCTGCCCCGCTGAAATCCAGTTGTATACAAAAAATAACAAGCTTAGTGGGTCCTGATAGTAATTTTTGGGCGTAAATCAGTTTCCAGTCACTTTGGGTAGGTTTCTGGGCTTAGAACTGAGTTTGGTTTGCTTTTGATGCTTTTTTTGTAGTCACTTTGTAGAGGAAAATGTTTGTTATATTCAATGCATGATTTAATGTTTTTTGTAAATCTTTTCTGTGTAAAATTATAGGTAACAAAGATCAATGAATCGCCCGTCCATTCTCGATCTTCAGTTATCCGCTTCAAGCCGGGAGTCGTGAGACAATCAGAAAACTAGCCATGCTCTGCTGAATTTGTAGTTTCAATTGATAATTATTTTACCTGTATTATGTTATGTGTCAATTTGTAGAGGGTCTTTGCTTTAATAAAGTGATTTACTTCAACAAAGTTATTGAATGTTTGATCTTGTCTATAGATATCTCTGAGCGATTTGCAAAAACATGGCCGCTAGGCGCTAGGCAGGGATTAAGTCCAGGCCTTAAGCCAGCGGCAGCTCTAAACTTAGTGGGAGGAGGGAGCGGGGAGGGGGCGGAGCTCCATCAAGGCCCGGCTGGGGACATGGTTCAGGCACTGGCCTATCTGCTGGTGGTTTGCTGGCGGCCAGCTGTCAATAGCAGGGAGGAGGGTAGGGTGTCTTTTACTGACAGCTCCACTTATCTAGACTTCAACTTGCCAAATGACCTTGATATTGACTGTGTTTTGGGCATTTTGCTCAGTTGTTGAACCTTGTTTGAGGCTTCTGTGTTGACACGGCACCTTGCTGGATAGGCCCATGCCACTTACATGCATGACGGGTCAATCTCCTGGCCAGGGGGGTGATCAGAAGACCACTGACTGCTGGAACTGTTTTTGAGCTGTCTGCGGGCATGTTTTAGCAAATACGGTCAGATATGTGCTACCATATAAAGCAAATGTCACATTGTGATGATACAACAAAACCGGTACAACTTTTTATTAAAACCGCATGATATATTTTAAAATAGTTTCTATTTTACGAAATCTTTAATTTCACTTACAATAAAACAATGAATTTTCTCAGTAACAATAAAATGCAGGCTTTAAATGCATAGTCTATAGAAAAGAGCAACGCTTGAAGTATAAATAGACCCCGTTCAACTATGCAAGCTTTAAAAGCATAGTCTACAGAAAAGAACAATGCTTGAAGTATAAATAGACCCCCGTTCAACCGCCATAATATACATAATCGTTAGGTACTTTTTAATGAGTGCTTGTTTCACAATTCAATTAAGAAAACTTAACTGCAGTTACGACAACTGGTATTCCCATCTGACTGAATATGTTATCTCTAGATTTGACACATGTAAAACCGGCCATCGACAGTCCCAATTGCTTAGCAATTGTTTTCCATGTTTTCTTTAAAATGTCTGGGTTTTCAAAACAAATTACAAAATGAAACGACAGGCAAAGTGTCGGTTAAGTCTAAGAACATGTTGAAAAACTATATGAAATCTAGCTTGGTTGAGAATCCTCATCGGCTCAAGTTTCCAAAAATCACAAATTATGAAAACTAGCAGCCTACTGAACACTGTCTTATAAAGAACTTGAAATTGACACATCTTGCGCATTGATAGAGAAACATTTTTTTCTTTACCTGCAGGATTCAGCAGGAAAACGTATTTGTTTTACAGAAGTTGAGTCGTGTGGCAACTGACTGCAGGCTAGACCTCATTGATAACATTAGAGCAATAAGCCACCCCAAAACGCTTATAAATACAGCTGCGAGCACAAGATACAAGAGAAGACTTCCATCTGTTTTTCTCTTCCCATCTATAAAAAGATTGAAATACGGATTAAAACTCAATTGCACTTATATATTATACGACTGTCTTAAGGTATAGTAAAGCTTTTTCTCAGTAGTGTTTCGTCAATTATGTAAACTACGGAAGCCGATAAGGGACAATCCCAAAATATTTACGAAATCCGAAAACATATTTTTAAAATCCGAAAAAATATTTCAAATCGTAATGTTTTTTTTGGAAATCATCGTTGAAGAGTTCATCAAATCTCAAAATCTATTACAAATCTTAACTTGATAAAATTATTGAATCCACAAATATTATTTTGCAAATCCCAAACAAGTTTGCAAATCTTATAATTGTCGCTAAATCCAGAAAAATATTTTGCAAATCCGAAAAAGTATTTTGTCACGTGTTAATTGCGCCAGCAGTCTGCCAGCAT